TATTTGACTGGAAGCTCATGGGGGCAGTTTTATTCATCATTAAATCCCCAGCATCCAACACTTTTACCCTTCAAACAAGGACTTGGAGAATATTTACTGAATCAAATGGACAGATGAAAGGATGGATGTAGGAAAGCCACATTTTTTCCTGAGATCTTTAAGCACTGATAAAATGATCAAGCCTTCAATAAATCTTTTTACATCCAGTAAAACTGTCTCCCTACATCTTATCTATTCCACAATGTAATATAAACATGAAGCAATAATAGTAACTAACACTTTTAAACATCTTGTGTGAAAGTCACTCAGTCGTGTCTGGCTCTTTCTGATCCCATGGACTGTAGACTCCGAGGCTCCTCTGTCCATGGAATTCTCCAGGTCAGAATACTGGAGTGGGTAGCCATTCTCTTCTCCAGGGAATCTTCCCAACCCAGGGATTGAACCCAGGTCTAACACGTTGCAGGCAGATTCTTTCCCATCTGAGCCACCAGGGAAGCCCAAGAATACTGGGGTGGGTAGCCTATGCCTTCTCCAGGGGATCTTCCTGACTCAGGAAGCAAACCGGCGTCTCCTGCATTACACCATAACAAGTTCCTAAAGAGGAACATACTGTAATATACCTTACCGGTATTCCTTAAACCTGTCAAAATCATCAAAAACAGGAAAGTCTGAGAAACTGTCACAGGGAACTTAAGAAGACATGACTAGAAAATGTAAACTAGTATTCTGGATAGAATTATGGGAACAGAAAAGGGCATTAGGTAGAGACAAAGGAAATCTGAATAAAGACTTTAGCAAATAATAATATGTCAATATTGGTTTAGTAATTATAACAAATGTACCACACTAATACAAGATATTAATAGTAGGAAAACTGGGCATGGTTTGGGGGAAGGGAAACGGATGTAGGTATATATTCTCTGTACTATCTGCTCACTTCTGTAAATCTAAAACTGTTATAAAAAAATGAAGTCTACTTTTTAAAAAAGACATAATTAATTCTCATGAAAACTGAGATGGGAACTATGATGAGCCCTATTTTACAGATAAAAGAGTACCTTAAGTTCAGTTTCCCCAAGTCTTTGAGACTTAGAATATACGTCTCTTCTGCACCAAAATGTACTTGATTCATTTAAATAATGTGTATTGATTACTGTCTGCCAGTCACAGACTGAGCTTAGGCGATTCTATGAAGAGAGGCACAATTAGGAAGGCAGAAAGAGCTTTGTATCTACCTACTGAAATTAAAGCGCACGACCAAACATTTTACTAATAAAGTGTGCACAATTCTAAAATGTATTTTACATGGTGACAGCACATACACTCCTTCAATAGCTAGAAACAACTGAGCTTGACATCTAATTATCAAGAATAATTATTTAAATATGAAGCCACCAGGTGCCATAGATTTTTAAGAACACATAAGTCATGTATCAGAAGTTACAAGGCTGTTTAAGAATGAATTTGTATCTTATCTCAGCTACTAAAATCACAAAGGCTCTATCTCTGAGGACAATCCCCAGTCTATGCTGAAAGGACACCTCAAAGGCAAAAACGTCCTGTGTCATTGCATTCTTTTCTGAAGATATTCAGTGTAAACTTCCTTCACTGTTATTTTGGCTGGTATAACCTTAACATTTTCATTACTGATTACTCCATTGATCAAAACAAAGGTTTGGCACCTTGGCTGATCAAGCGAAAATTCCTGGCCCATGCCAGTCTGATCATGAAATGTTATACATGCTCACTATAACGTGGTATACCAAGACAAAAATAAGCTTTCTTTTTTTTTTTTTTGCAAAGTGTATTACCTGTGGGGCTTCTTGACTTTCATACCTGGAACTGTAATCAACAGGTAGACTCCAATCTATCCACTTGAAACAATAGCCAAGGGAGCACTTTGTACCCGTAACTTCAGTGCTTCTTGTGATTCCTTTAGCCGCCTCACTGTATTTAGCCTTAAAAGTTCAGCTGAGGCATTAGGTCCTTCACAAAGTTTTAGCCTGCTCAGTGTGGGCCATGGCACCTTGTACAAACCTCAGTCATAGTATTTACTACAATTCAGTACATTTTAACAAGTTATGAATGAATGAAGATGAGGTACCATTCTGGTCATCTGGGAAACATCAATGAACAAATCAAAGATACCTACCCTTGTGAGGAAAAGTATACAATAAACAAACTATAATAAGTAAATTTTATAGTATGTTATAATGATAAGTGCTATGGAAAAGTAAAGGGCTTCCCTGGTGGTGGCTCCGTGGTAAAAGAATCCGCCTGCCAATGCAGATGTGGGTTCAAGCCATGGTCTAGAAAGATGCCCTGCAGAAGAAAATGGCAACCCACTCCAGTATTTTTGCCTGGGAAATCCCAGGGACAGAGGAGCCTGGCGGACTGTAGTCCGTGGGATTGCAAGAGTTGGACACGACTTAGCAACAGACCAACAAAAACATATGGAAAAAGAAAACACGGAGTGGGTTAAGAGGGCTGGAATGGACTAGGGTACAGAAAGAGGTTCAAGTTATAGTACTTGAACTATATATTATATATATATATATATATATCTTCTTCTGTGAGAACGGGATTTGAGCAAAGACTTGAAGGAGGTGAGGGAATTAACTCACCTCCTTCAAGTCTTTGCAGATCCCAGAAGAAGAGGCTTCCGGATAGTGGAAAGAACAAGAGCAAACAGCCTCACACAGGAATATGCTTGGTGAGTTTGAGAAGAAGCTTGGAGGCCAGTTGAGTCTGGAGCAAAATGCCTCAGAAGGGAATAGGAGGGGAACAGAGAGGTAAAGCAGGGAGCATCAGTGATGGCAGCTTGTGGGCCATTACAAACACTGGCTTTTACTCTGTGTGAAATGGGGAACTGTTGATGGGTTTTGAGTAGTGGAGAGACATGATCTTACTTCTGCAAGATTCACTCAGGTCATTATGTGGAGAATAAAATTGTAGCGGGGCCAAGACAGAAGCAGAAAAACCTGTTAGGAGGTAATTATGAGAGAGGAGGAGGCCTCAGGCAAGAGAAGTAGCATAAAGTGGGGCAGATGAGAGCCAGATTTTGGAGTTAGCATCACGGGGGGAGGACGTGGGGTGTAATCCTTGTGTTAGTCGCTCAGTCATGTCTGACTCTTTGCTGCTCCACAGACTAGCCTGCCAGGCTCCTCTGTCCATGGAATTCTCCACTCAAGAATACTGGAGTGAGCATCCATTTCCTTCTCCAGGGGATCTTCCCGACCCAGGGACTGAACCTGGGTCTCCTTCACTGCAGGCAGATTCTTTACCCTCTGACCGCCAGGGAAGCCCCAATAACAGAGGAGAGCCAAAGGCGTCTCTAGGGATTCTGTCCTGAGCAACTACTGCGATGGAGGTATCATGAACCAGTGTGGGAAGATTATGGAAGAGGCAGGTGAGGATGCGAAGAGCAGGAATTCATGAAAGAACATGAATCTAGCTGTTGTCTGAAAATGTTCTGTTGACACTTTCTGGTAAGATGGAATAAATACAAGGAGAGTGGGTGTCAGCAGTCTGAAAGAAAATCTGGGATTCAGCTGGGCAGCACATTTTAGAAGTGCTCCATTTCAAATTCCCAACACTTGATATCAGAGACAACATTGTGAGGAAAAACACAGAAATTAATGTCTTTGAATCTAAAAATGATTGTGAAGAATTAGACTCTGAACATGAAAAAAATCTAAAAATACCTCAAATGATTTATCTACATTTACCTCTTTATACATGACTTGAGAATAAAATATGATTTTAAAAATCCACTAGATCGGACTAAATTTTCAAAAAATAGAAAATAACTTCAGTGGTAAGAAATCACCATTTAATAGTTTAATGGGCAATGCTTTTCTTAGTGACACAAAAAAATATTTTTAAATTGGATACAATGAGATAATAATGATTAAAAATAACTAATACTTACTAGCCACAATGAGCCAGGGACAGTGCTAAGTGCTATACATGGAATTTATATATACATGGAATCTCACAACAATCCTATGAAGTAGTAACCAATTTCCCTCCTTTTAAGAGAATGCCCAAATAGTGAAGAAAACTTATGTGTCTTTTGTATGTCCCATACACTCTTTGTGCTTTGCTACTTTTTCCCCTTGGAATAAAATCATCAGCCTCCTATAATTTCTCACCTTTAAGAATTTTAAGAAGAAAAAAAAAGAATTTTAAGAAAGAAATCTTTAGCATGAGTCTTAGATGTCTGCTGCATTTATTATCCCAAGTCCAGCTGCTCCCTCTGCTACACACAGACTTCTAATTCCAGTCTTCTGTGTGGGTTTGGGGTTTTGTTTGGTTCCCTTTTTCAAATAAAAAAAATAGGCATGGGGCACTTCCCTGGTGGTCCAGTGGTTGGGACTCCGTAGTCCCAATGCAGGGAGTTCCAAAGTGAAAGTCACTCAGTCATGTCCATCTCTTGTGACCCCCATGGACATACAGTCCATGGAATTCTCTAGGCCAGAATACTTGAGTGGGTAGCCTTTCCCTCCTCCAGAGGATCTTCCCAACCCAGGGATCGAACTCAGGTCTCCCATACTGTGGGTAGATTCTTTACCAGGTGAGCCACAAGGGAAGCCCAAGAATACTGGAGTGGGTAGCCTATCCCTTCTTCAGCGGATCTTCCCAACCCAGGAATTGAAACGGGGTCTCCTGCATTACAGGCGGATTCTTTAGGAACTGAGCTATCAGGGAAGTTCCCTGGTCAGGGAATTGGATCTCAAGTGCAACAACTAAAGATCCCATGTGCCACAACTGGGACCTAACACAGCCAAATAAATAAATAAATATTTAAAAAGAGAAAAGCACAGAAGGAGGTGCAAGGCTCAAGGGATGAGTAACACGGTGCCCCTGCCTTGAGGCACTTACAGTCTAATGGGTGAGACACGCAGGAACGGGTAATCTACTCCCTCTCACATGCCAGGTGCTCTGCGTCTGCGTGCAGCAAGCTCTGACAGCGCAGCGACAGCTTAGGGCAGGCCCTAATGGAAAGGAAAAGCGGGTGTTTCCTCAACTCCTTCAGCTTCACGCTGGATTACGGGTCGTTCCGGTACATACTCCTGGGCTGCAGTGGGCCACTCAGAGGCTGTTCTGATTGCAGCTCTTTCACACCTCGTATCAAGTAGGGCACAAGAGCAGACACTGTTTGTTCAACATTGGACTAAAGATGACAGACTAGGCTCTATGTAAGCCCTGAAAACGATTCAGTTCCAAACTTCCCAGAAAAAAAAAAAGAAACTCTGATACACAATTACAAAAGCATGATATTGGCTGGGCTCAAAAACCATAGTTACAAAAACTATTTAGCAATGTACTGTAGAATAGATGTTAATAGACATTTATAGAGTGTTAGTCAATAATATATTAAACAATAACATTTACAGATTCATTACATGAATCTACACAGGGTACTTGTACTGGGGTTAGGGGGTGGGGGAATAAAAGGACGATCCTTGGAAAAGGATCAGCCTAGTTAGGGAGACTCTGTGAACCTAGAATAAAAACCAGGGTTATAAACACACCAAATTCTAGTAAATTCAATCCCATTTTGCTGATGTTTGTAACCCTCATTCACAGTTTGAGACTATGTGCACTAAGGGACCTCTTATGTTAACAGCATCTCAGAACTGTGACAATATCTGCTCAAACCAATGGATTAGGAGGAAATGAAGTTTTTTTCCTGATCTGCAACTACAAGGCCCTAATGGTATAAAATCTGCTTGTGCAGGGGAGAGATGAGCAAGAATGTCCTCTAAATTCAGCTAGCAAGAAGATATTTCCTAGAAGAAGCAACACTGTTGTTAATGCAATGTACAGAAACCTATACCAAATCACTGTCATTTTTGACAGGTCCCTTAGGAAAAAAAAAAAGTGTGTCAAATACTAAAATATAAGATTTTAGCTGACAGGACTAGATTCCTTGCTGAAAGCTGTCTACACAGAAGCAACATTGGCAATCATGACACTGAAAATATTTAAGGGTTCTTATTCTCATCTGCAGCCTTGGGATGTGTACAGACAAAAAGATGTATTCTCTCCTTCCCCATCATTCTTACAAACTCAAGCAAGTAACTTCATCTAAATTCCTTGTAGAGGGAAGGGGTAAAAGCCTAGGCCGGAGGAACTTTTGAAAATAGTGTCTCTTCCCCACTCCATCTTTTGATATTACTGATGGAAATAGTCTATGTGTGAAAAAGAGAAAACCTGAGAACCACTCATCTGAAATATCTGAACACACAACCAGATACCTTGATACAGATAGTTTCAGGAGATACAGTAACTGCTACCATTAAGCTCACCTCCAGTAGCATTCCACTATATAGAGATGGGATGCCTCCTAGGGTGTTGATTAAGCCACTGTATCCTGTACCTGGGTTTAGGTAGTAAGAATTCCTGTGAGGGCGTGAGTCAGCTGTGTTGTTTTCCAGTGTCACCAAGACTACATACATGACTAAACCACAACTAACACAGAGATCAGAAAAGTTTTATCAAGATGCATGTGAACATCAGCATGAAGACTGATGCAATTAATGACCACTTCACCCTTTGTATTCATATATTGAAATAAATGTTAACTCTTCTAGAGAAGAAATGTGCTCTGATACTTCTGAAGTACATCCTATGATAAATTATATTTCACTTCAGCACAGTAAAGCATCAGTTTTTAAGCCCCAAAAGACATTTGGTGGATGCTTTGCTTTCTTTGAATAAGCATTAGGGAGCAAAGGCATAAAACCTAAAGGGAAAGAAGTTAAGAATCCAGTAAGACAGTTAAAAAGGTAAGAGAAACCTATCTTTTTGGACTGATGTCGAAGCTGAAATTCCAATACTTTGGCCACCTCATGTGAAGAGCTGACTCATTTGAAAAGACCCTGATTCTGGGAAAGACTGAGGGCAGGAGGAGAAGGGGACGACAGAGGATGAGATGGTTGGATGGCATCACTGATTCAATGGACATAAGTTTGAGTGGACTCCAGGAGTTGGTGATGGACAGGGAGGCCTGGAGTGCTGCGGTCCATGGGGTCGCAGGGTCGGACACGACTGAGCAACTGAACTGAACTGAACTGAATGCCGTAGATATTTGACTGCTAACACTAGTAAGAGAGTAGTGTAGCCAAAAATGCAGTATTTGGACAGGACTGCAAAAAAGAAAGCTGTTATCCTTAGAAAGTCAAATGTTTCCACCTTCCCAGGGTTACTAATGCTGTTTCCCACAGCTTCTTGGAAAATATCGCTGTTTTCTCTGGGCTCTTTCCAGGTGCTTTATTGAGAGAGTAAAATGGAAGAAGAGGAAAATACCATAAACAACCTCACTATGGAAGGACAGGAAATGCTGACCTCAACCTACTTCTGTTCTTTCTGTATAAAATTCTCATATGTGTAATTGCGGAGGAAGAAGGATGATCAGAAAATACGGCACTGGTCATTTGCTGATTGTTCTAGCACAATAATTCTCAAATACATTCATTCTTTAGTCTAAATCAGAGCTTCTAAAACATTCTGTGGTAAAGGACCAAATTTTAAAATTTCCATCTACTGCAAGCTTTTATAAATTACAGTAGAAATGAGTTACTAGAAAAGTAAATTTTTAAAAATATACAAAATATAAGCCCCCAAATTTTGTATTAGTGATTTCAACGGGCATAAAATAACTCTGCCAAATTGCTATTAAAGTTTATAAAAGCTTATTCTCAGCTTTTGTACTTACCTTGTGGCAAATGGATAACAAACTATTCTGAACTACAGTCTGAAAAGAATTGTCCTAACCACACACACATCCACAAACATGGGACACATATACATCACAGAAGCACACACAAACACATCAAAGTAAAGATAAATTTCTATCCATTTTAAAAATAATTTAAATATACAGAAAATAATTGTTTTACATATTTCTTTAAAATCCACTCTATACCAAAAAAGTTGATGAGAAAGCGGAAGTCTCCTACCCCACCTCTCCCCTTCAGCACCTACCCAAAGTGGCAGCTGACTAATAATCACACCTGTCGGGGAAAGGTCATTGCCAGCCTCCCTCCCCCCATCCTGACTTTCCTCCTGGGGCTCTCTTCTTCTCACAGCTGCTGACCTGGGTATTCCCTCTGCGTCTCTTCTGTGCAGGGGTACCCTTTGAGAAAGACTATAATACTGTTCAAAATATTTGTGGCTCCTGCCTTGGGGTTGATTACACTCACCCCATTGATGTCAGGCTTGGTTATGAGTTGTGATGTCCCATCCAATGGGAGGATTTTCCATCTCTGCCTTGTTAAACTCAGAAGTGACCGTATGACTTGCTTTGGCCACTGACATGTGACATTCCAAGGTGGAAACTTAAGATAGAGTTCTATCATCTCTTTTCCCTCTGCCACAAGTCTGGCAATTTCACAGATAAAGGATGCTCCACCAGCCTGATTCCAATTATGATGATGAAAAGGAGCAGAACTACACAATGGACACACTGGGTGAAAAGAAATAAACCTACATTGTAAACCACTGAGAGTTTGGTATTGTTTGTGACTGCATCATAGCCTGAGTTGATGAATATATCTGTATTTCCTAGATCTCCTTTGTTGGCTTTATGCTCTAAATTTGGCAATTTATCTTCCAGTAGCTTCCTGAGAAAGTGTCTATAACAGGCAAAGATCTAATATGTCTGAAAATAATAGAATACTGAGTCTGAAATAATTTTTCTCTCAGAATCAGAAAGCATTGAGACATTGTCTTCTAGTTCCCAATGATGCTGTTGAGAAGACCACTGTTGTTTTTTCTAGTCTTTTGTGTGTATCTTCACGTGCTCCCAGAGGCTTTTAATGGCTGTTCTAAAATTTCGTGGTCATGTGCTTTGTTACGGGGCTTTTTCAAGAGATCTCAGTGTCTCTTTCAATCTTAATGCTCATGTTTTTCAAATCTAGGACAGAATCTTCAATATTCTCTTAAAATCATCTTTTTTTTTAATAAAAATTTTAGTTTCATCAAAGTTAAACATGCTCAAAGTTTGCAGAGTCAACAACCTTCTCACTGAATATTTACTGTTCCCCAGGGACAGCCACTCTGATTTTTTTTTTTTTTTAAGCTAGTTCTTTGGTATTGACCTCCATATCTCTACACATATATTTAATTGTGGTAACATGATATTTCTGTTTTAGGTATTATTTATTTTCATTATGGAAATGAGGATTTATTCTCCTTCTTCTCTGAACACCCACAACATACATGCTGCTTTCACTATATATCATAACTTTAATTAGATTAATCATGAGTATTTACATTATTCAGTTCAGTTCAGTTCAGTTCAGTTGCTCAGCTGTGTCCAACTCTTTGTGACCCCATGAATCACAGCACGCCAGGCCTCCCTGTCCATCACCAACTCCTGGAGTTTACTCAAACTCATGTCCATCGAGTCGGTGATGCCATCCAGCCATCTCATCCTCTGTCGTCCCCTTCTCCTCCTGCCCCCAATCCCTCCCAGCATCAGGGTCTTTTCCAGTGAGTCAACTCTTCACATGAGGTGGCCAAAGTACTGGAGTTTCAGCTTCAGCATCAGTCCTTCCAATGAACACTCAGGACTGATCTCCTTTAGGATGGACTGGTTGGATCTCCTTGCAGTCCAAGGGATTCTCAAGAGTCTTCTCCAACACCACAGTTCAAAAGCATCAATTTTTCAGCACTCAGCTTTCTTCACAGTCCAACTCACATCCATAGATGACCACTGGAAAAACCATAGCCTTGACTAGACGGACCTTTGTTTGTAAAGTAATGTCTCTACTTTTTAATATGCTATATAGGTTGGTCATAACTTTCCTTCCAAGGAGGAAGTGTCTTTTAATTTCATGGCTGCAATCACCATCTGCAGTGATTTTGGAGCCCAAAAAAATAAAGTCTGACACTGTTTCCACTGTCTCCCCATCTATTTCCCATGAAGTGATCATGGACCAGATGCCACGATCTTAGTTTTCTGAATATTGAGCTTTAAGCCAACTTTTTTACATTATTGGGACCTTGTATTCCAGTTAGATTTGAGTCATGTAATAACTATGATTACTTTTCCTCTCCTACCAAACTTTTTGTTTTCCCTGGAGTTAATAACTGTATTGTTCTTTTCATTTACTTAGTTTCCTAAGC